GTAATCACTCCCCACTTTTCTCTGCCACATACAGGGTAAAGGGCTTGTTTAAGTCTGGCAATGCCAGGGCTGGTGCTGATGCAAGTGCAGTCTTAAGCAATTGAAATGCCTGCTGGTGAGCCTCAGTCCATTCGAGGGGTGTATTTCCTCCTGCAGTGGCCTCGTGCAGGGGCTTGGCAATCTCAGCAAAGCCAGGCATCCAAATCCTGCAATAGCCAATGGCTCCTAGGAACTCTCGCACCTGTTTCTTTGAGCCTGGCTTCAGAATCTGGAGAATTGTGGATACTCTCAATTCTGCCAGCCTTCTCTTTCCCTTTTCAAGAATATAGCCATTCTATCCTCAAAAGGATCTCTGTTGTTAAACACCTTCATTGTCACACTCATCAACTTTTCCCTGTTTTCTCCCTCAGACCCCTCCATCTGCTGTAATTTTTCCTAATATCTGGGGCCGACTGAGTAACAAAAACCAAATTAATCGCCTGTTAATTTGCAGGGGCATCTGGGTCAATTGGAGTATACATACGGTATGCTTCCAACAGACGCTCCAGAAAGGCAGAAAGGGGATTCCTCAGGTCCTTGAAGGACCTCGCTTACTTTGCTCAAATTGGTAGGCTTTTGAGCGGCTCCCCTCAAGCCGGCTAGGAGATGCTGGTGGTAGCTGTGGAGAGCTTCTCTCCTGCCCAAGGAATTAGCTTGCCACGGGGGATGGGTGGACGGAAGTTGCGCCTCAATACGGGCCCGCTCTTGTTCATCGAGTGGGCCCTCCGTTCCTCCTAACACTGACTTTATGGCTTGCCCTCTGATCCTTTCTCTTTCCTAGGAGGTAAAAAGGGCTCGGAGAAGTTGTTGACAATCATCCCAGGTTGGGTCATGGGTATGAAAAGCAGATTCTAGGAGGGAGATCAAAGCCTGGGTTTTTTTCTGAAAAGGGGGGATTTTGATGTTTCCAATTATACAAATCACTGGTAGAGAAAGGGATATAGACATAATGACCCTGTTCTATTTCCCTAAGAGGCAGAAGAGGAACTGAACTAGTCCCTTCAGTGGGAGCCCCGCTGGGACCATAAGCAGACCCTGTTAGCATGTGGGAGGGGGAGGTTACAGAATCCAGAGATTTTTCTTCTTCGGGAAGAGGAGAGTAGAAAGGGTTTCGAGATCTGGGGCCGGTTTTATCAGAGGAGAGGATGGCTCCACACAGGGTGGAGGTCTTACAAAGGGGTCTAAGAGATCAGGATCTTGTGAGAGCACTGGCTTGGGAGCCTGAGCTTTGACCTCTCGGGGTTCCCTTGGGGCCATAACCAAAATGCGAGAGTTTGTTCACAAGGAACAATGCTTCAACCAAGCCGGAGGCTCTTGACAAGCCTGAACCCAGATATTTATATATGGAAACTGATCAGGATGGCTAGGGTACCCGGTTACTCTTTTCCATACCACCTGACAGAGGCTTGGCTCAAAGGAGCCCTCGGCTGGCCATCCAACTCCGAAGGCCAGCCATTCCAATTGACACAGGGAGTGAAGTTTTCCGCAAGAAAATTTAACCCCATATTCGTCCTCCTGCTCGGGGGAAAAAGCCAATTTAAAATTAGTGAGGAAACAGTCCAATGGGGTAGTCTTGGAGCAGGATCCTCCCATCTCTGTCCTTGATGGTTTGGAAAGAAATTCAAAATTAAACACACAACGGATAGGACA